AAGCACGGGCAGGGCAGGGAGATGGGGAAGGGAGGGACAGAATGAGGGCCTTTCCTGCAGCAGGAGGCTGCAGTGCCCTGTGCCACCACCCCCCTGGATGTGTCCCTGCCTCCAGCCCCACTCGGGCCCTTCTCCCTTCTCCTGCAGGCCAAGGAGAGCATCGAGCAGCTGGTCTACCTGTGCCAAACTGACAAGGAGCCTGTGCGGGAGGCAGCCAAGCAGAGCCTGATGCTGTGTGGTGAGTGTCCTGCTGCTCCTCTCTGCTCCCTCCCCACCCACTATGTCCTGAGCAGCACCTCCTGGTGCCAGCAGTGCCCACAGGAGAAGGGGGTTCCGGGCTGGTCCCTGCCTGACCCGCTCATCATGCCCCGAGCTCTGGTGGGCAAGAGCAAGCTGGCAGCGAGGGCCAGGCATCCAGCAGCCACAGAGCACTAAGCCTGGTTGTTATTTTTGCTAGATGGCACTGAGAGAACCATCTGAGTGGGTTTCTAGGCCTCCAGATCGCGGCAGCTGCTGCACAGGTTGGGACACGTGAGCCGTCCTCGTCCCCCTGTCCCCACTCCTGCCGCTTTGCTCACGAATGTCTCCGTCTTAGAGCCTGTCAGCCGTGTGGCCTTTTGGAGTCTTGTGTGTCTTGGTTGCTCGTAGAGCCCATCCCCATGGCACCGCAGCACGTGTAGGCGCCTTGTGTCCCATGTCCCAGCAGAATGTCCGTGTCACCACCTCTCGCTGGGTGTGGCCGCAGATTTGTGGGCAGATTTGCGTGCGGGGGGTGCCGGGTGGAGAGCTCAGAGCCAAGTCCTAGCATGGATGAGTTCCATCCCTGTGTGTGCCCAGGGGGTCCTGGGGAAGCCCTCGGGACCCCCGTACCACTGCATGCAGATGTGCACAGCTGTTTGTGATGCTGCAGCCAGCACAGCCCCGAGCCCTGGCCCCTTTGCCCCACGTGGGGCTGTCCCAAACGTGGGTGACCCCACCCCACGTGGACACAGGTACAACAGGAGCTGAAGAACAGGATTTGCACCATCTGAATCAGGAGCTCTGGGGACTTTTTGAGCTGGATCCCAGTCAGGACCTGCCCAAGGGTGTGCTAGGGGGGGCAAGAGAGGTCTCCACTCTGCGGCACACTTGCTCATCTCTGCCAGGCATGAGCCACATTTCATAGAATCATAGAACCACAGCATGCTTTGGGTTGGCAGGGACCATAAAGACCATCTAGTTCCAACCTGGAAAAACCAAGGAAAGCAGCAGGGGATGGAGCTGCTGCAGCTGCATTCACTGACCCAAGGGAATCTCCTTCCAGGGGAAGACGGCAAATCAGCACACCGGCGCCTGGAGGAGCCCCTGGACAGCCTCCCGAGGATCTTTGCCCCAGCCAGCATGGCCAGTACAGCTTTCTGAGCCGCCACGCACACCCACCTGCCCCCCCTCGAGGGCAAAGCCACCGCAGGGCCACCCGCCCAAAAGGGCGGGGCCGCGGGGCCCCCGCCGCGCTCCGCAGTGTTCCCGCTGCGCTCTGCCTTAGGGAGCAGCGCTCCCCGGCTTCGCGGGCGTCCCCAGCACCCCGGGCAGGGGGCTGCCTGCACACCCACTCTCCCACAGCGCTATTTAAACACCACACTCGGGGAGCTTGACCCCCCCCCAGCACCTCCCTGGCCCCCCATCCTCTGCCCCTCATCACCGCTGCTGGGAGCAGGAGAGTCCAGGATTCCTCTGGGATTCCTCTGGCTCCTCCTTCCTCTCCTGCCCGAGGACCCTGTGGCAGAACCTGCACTTTGGGGACCACGCGGTTTCCTTCCAGGAGTTGCCTGGGCCGTGGGGACTTGGCTGCCCTTTGCCACCTGGAGTTCCCCAAGGACTTCAATAAAAGGAAAGATGAGATATTATTAATATATTCTGCTGGCGTTTCTCCTTTCCAGCTCCACGTGCTCCTGTCCCTCCCCGGCTGTGGCTGGAGGGGAATGTTAGTGGGATGTGGCCCCAGCCTGGAGACTTTCCTGCTCCATCAGGAAGCACCGTGGAGGGCAGGGGCAGGAAGAGCAACAGAGGGACAGACGGACGGACGGACAGAAGCTGCCACCTTTTTGTTGTTGTTGTTTTATTTTATTTTTTATTTACAGATTTTTGCAGAAAAACAAAAGCAAAAAATTCTTTTCTATAATGTCTCTATAAATCTATATATAATGTAATTACAGAGAATGACTAATTTTGACTTTAAACCAGAAATAAAGAACAAAACCTTTATTGAAGGACAGCGTCGCTGTGCGGGTGTTTCTTCTGCCCCTCTGCTCAGGCAGGGTGAGCTGGGGAGGGGGGTGTCACTTGGGGCACAATTGTGACTTCTGGCATGGCCTGGGTGGAGGACAGCAGGTCCCTGTCACCTAGCACAGGGCACAGAAGTCTAGGTCTTCCTGGCTTGGCATGGCTGGGAGGAGAGAGGACTGAGAGCAGGTTTCTCCTTTTCAGCCATGGAAGGAGCTTCTGCCTCCCCTAAGACCTGCAGGAGTTGCTGAGGTGTTGCCCAACTGGACTGGGCATGGGAAGCATCACCAGAGGTGGCATGAGGTGGCCACACAATGGCCAGTCCTGGGAGCCACCAAAACTTTAAAAGATCCTTCCAACCCAAACCAGTTTGGGATTCGATGATTCTATAAAACCAACCCTGATTTCTGCAGTCTCCTGTACCTATGGTGGAAACACACTGTGGTACCCAACACCAAGACAGGGCAGGAGCTCACC